ACTAATAAGTGGTAAAGAAACCAAACTTAGCTTTTGTAGGGTAAAATGTTTTAATCAGGATATTTTTGAACTATTGTGGCTAAAGGATAAGCATCAAGAAAATGAAGAACTAACCCGGCTGAAAATTTCATCTGTTGCATTTACAAAAGCTTCATAATGGTTCCAGTCTGCCATGTTGGTAATATTCAGTTTTTTATTGAATGTCTGCTGCAACAAAGTAGTACTCGTGATCGCAGTGTCGTTTTACAGTAAGATGTGCTTTTTTAACTCATTTGTTTAATCTTGCTAGATAACGGTTCTCTGGAGAACTGTGTTGATGCTATCAATATATTACTTAATAACTAGCAGCAGTTTTTTATTTCTCTTCAAGTTACTCTATTTGATTAGTTTTTATGATACCTCTCTGATTACAATAATAAAACAATCACTACTTCTGTCATCCAACAGAATTTAAAAAATTTTAGAATTAAAAAAATTACTAATTCTAAAAACTATTGCCGATGACAATTTGAATCTTCTAACGGTAATGTTAAAAATGAAAAAGAAAGACGAAAACTGAAACATAAGTCTGACTAAATGTCAAGTTTTCTGGAACACCGTCAAGTAAACTTTCTTTTATTCAATTCCCGTTACTGCAGTGATTTTTTATCTAAACATGGTGTTTCTAAATGTTCCACCCTTCCAAAACTTGCATACCTCTGTACTCGTTTTGTAATAATCGCTTCTTTTTACATTTCCAAATTACTTTCTTTTGACTATACCAGCAGACTATAGGCTAAATTTCCATTAGTTCTAGGATAGCAAGAAATTTAAATTATGCTTTATATTCCTCGTCACTAGACAATCGCTATGCGGTTACTGAATACGTAAACTTATACAAAAAAGTACAGAAAACAAAATCACAGTTTTTTTGCCCAGTTTCATCTGATGTTGAGAACTTCAATTTTTTTTTTTTGTAAATTCGAGCATTGATAGCCGATTTCTTAAAATATTTTGCTTATTGAGGTACTTCACTCCCAATTAAAAAAAACCTTCAGTTTATTATCACAGCACCCAACTGCTTTGCAGTTTATGTTTCTCAGTGTGACCTACCATAATTCACTCTCGCTCATCACAGTGCGAAAATTTTGAGAGTTACAGCATAAACAAAAAGAAACAAGATTTTTTTTGAGGTATTTGTAAGGTTGTTATTATTCTGCGTGAAGCGTACGAAAGGTAGTAACTTTCTCCAGCCTTTCTCCATGACGTAAACAAAAGAATTGTCAACTTATTACTAACGCTCAAATCCTATATTTTGACTATCATTTGTCTAGGAGAGCGAAGTAAAATAATAATAGTTCTCGCTTAAGATGTTTCTGTAAGATGTCCACTTAATTGTTCTACGTTTTTTGCTTGTATTCAGTGTCTTAATTTACGTTTTAATAATATTAACCCAGCGACTATTATAAAAAAACTTCTCAGACAGATTTGTTGTCAAAGTCATGTCAAATTTCACCACAGGTTAAACAGCAACAATTTAAAACAAAACCATGTTGATTTTGGCAACCTTAAAAGACTGATAGAGTGGAAGTGCTTTGGGACCCTGCCAGGCAGTGACGGGAATGCGAAGAGTGAGAGCAACGGCGGCGCTGAACGGGTTTGCGGTACCATAACGTTACACGCTGAACGTTTAACTGCATACACATGTACGACAATACCCCATATTCGCTGTGATGATTTGTGCAGCATCAAGGAAACACGTCGTAAACAAATGACATCAGACGAGCGCAAGGTCAAGAAGAAGTGGTAAAGTTGAAATCTTAGTGGTAAGACAGCAGCTAACAACGACGTTGGGGTACTACTGCTAAATTTGTTTTATTTATTGGGTTTTAAGAAAATTCTGTCATTTACATGAAGTTAAATAAGTAAAAACATATGATAGCCAAGAGGTCAATAGTATGTTCTTTAATAATATTCAGTTTCTCTCGTAAAATAATCAAGTTTTAGAAGCTTGTACAAAAAAGTTAGCAGACTAATAGGATTAAACATGGTTTAAAAAGTCTGATCTAATGACTAGAGTAACAGTCGACAACGGTGCTGCAGACAAGCTAACTAACTTCCTTTTCAGTCGAAAATGACCATTATGAGCAGTACTTAATAATTTGATCATATATTTTTATTTAAAGTGTTTCGCAACTATATTTTTATATTTTTTATATTATTTATTTTATATTTTATATTTTTTTAACGACTTTTTAGCTGAAATTCCCATAAATGAGAAAAACAAAGAAAACAATTGTGAGAAGATTTGGTTCTAAGTTACTGTAAAAAGGTAGAAGCTCCTACAAGTTTACACTCTCGTAAGCTTTCTGCAACTGTTGTTCTGCTGCCTGTTGTTCAGTGTAAGGTGTTCATCACTTCGTTTTCTGTTTGCTGGTGACCAGAAGTCTCCAAAACTTCACTTCGTCACTGAAATCTTATGCTATTTATAAAGCCAATTATACTTTTTAAATCTATGTTTACCTTTTTAGTTTCTATACGGGGCTTTTTAAATCAACTGTTTCCGTCTTGATAAGTAAGCAAATATGATAAAAATTTCAAAAACTTCAAATTTTTAATGGCAAATCAAGAATAAAACGAGTAGAAAAATCAGGAAGAAATATGAAAATCTTAAATTGTTTTTCTAAATAATATTTGTTCAGAAACTGAAGCTAAAGAAGTTAATTGATAAGTCTTTAGAATCAGACTCAGAAGTATTCAGAAGAACAGTTTATACGGTTACTATCTAGTGTTGTAAAAATTCCATCTTGAGAAAATCTTTTAGATTCTCTTCTAGAAATCTTTTTCTAGGCTGGTCAAGTCTTAGAGAGATCTTTACACCAACATAGATGGGATCTTCTGTCACACCAAATAATTTGTTGTCGTCAAATTGCTTTCAGATGCTGAACTGTTGCAGAAAACTTACTGACCTCTTACAGGAAAAAATTGTCGACTTGTAAATTGTTATATGCAAAGTGTTGTAAAAAATAAAATTTGAAATTATAAAGTACCTTCAGTTTCAATCTTTTTCAAAAAAGGTTAAAAAGATGTTTTGTTTTCTTAAATCAGTCTTTACTCGATAGCATCTCGTCAATATTTTTCAGTTATGCCACCACAACTTAACAGAAACGGGAAAGATGTTATAATTAACTGCAAAATATTTTTTGAATAGCAGTATTTAAACTGTTTTTACCCTCGAAGTAATGTAATTGTTACTTTTTAAAGTTAAGAAAAAGTATGAGTTGAGGTAAAAACCAAACTAGTTGTTTTCAAAATACCTTACGTTTTCAAGTAAAAGTCAACTGCAAAAATGCAAATACGTTAATACAGTGTATTTAGATTCTTATAAAGTTTTGCTTCAACTCTAATCCTTAAGGATTTAGGTTTGAAGCATTTGAATTGCTGTCCTAAATGCTAAAATCTTCTTCAAAAATTTTTTGTTTATTTTCGGCAATACACTTGAACTTTTTTAGAACGGCTATTAAGAGCTTGCTAAATGATAAAGTTATGTAGTCATCAACTTTAAATCTTTATAAAATGGCAGCAATTAAAAAAAAAGTGCTGAAAATAGAAACATTTTATTGCAGTCTACCTGACAATAATTGAAACGGGTATCGTCACATGATGTGCTGAATTTCTGAAGTGGAATTCGTTCCAGAATATGATCAGGTGGAATTATTGGCTCCAAGTATGATATAGCATTGGCTTTGTCACAAAATATGACAATTAGAGCTGCAAGTTTTCAGCGAGCTATTGATGCATATGATATCCCTTATTGTTAAAAAGCTTTGAAATATACCAATTTTTTTTGTCTAATGCAACATAAAAATTTATAAAGCAAAACAACTTTGTTGCATCAAATCCAAATTTTATTCATAAATATTTTTAGTCAGTTAAGAACATTTTTTTTATTTTACAACAACAAAAAAACGTAGATAAAACTGAATCAAACCTAAAATTCCAAACGACCAATAAGTGATCTGGCAGAAAGTTAACATTGTTGACGGCGAAGTAACACCAACTTTTCAACGTACCAAAGGCCGAGTTTCTGTTATCAAATTTGGAACAAAGCTACAAGTTGCTTTGTTATTTGATCCTTACGCAACGGTTAAATGCAGTTTCTGTTTTATCACATAACACATTACAGTTGTAAAACTAAAAAGTCAATTTTTATTTTGCAGTTATAAACCCTTTTTTTTTCTTCTTTGTTCGTTCGTCACAACTAAGCATTTTTATGCTTACCGGCTAACTGGTTCCTGTTCAATTTCAACTGCTTTTCACCCACTACAAAACAATAAAATTGTTAAACAACCAATGTTGAAAATAGAAAAAAAAACACCTAGATTATGTCATCTTTTATTTTTTGTCACTGATAAACAGATGCAATAATGTTAGAAATATAAAACAATAAAAAAAGACTCTTTAAAATTAATACCTAATTCAGGTAGCCACAGAGATTATACAATCAGTCATCAGTAATATCACTTAAGTGTTTTACGTTAAAATTATTTTTAAATAAACCAAAATTACAACAAATCAATGAGATAAAATACAACAAAGTTATTGCTTATGATTCTTAAGCAAAGTTTAGTTCTGTTTACAGATACACGAAATCAATCTTATTGTCATTTTCTGTTCAATTTATATTTGCTACACATAAACAGCTTTTCAGTTTCTTCACAACAGTTTTGGTCCAATAAATTTTTGATCGTCAAAAATACAGTAGATGCTTTTTTTAGTTAGAAATAACTTTTCAATTTTGATTTTTAGACTATGCTCTGAGCAGTAAAAATAAAAATGAAAAAAATTTTATAATCAGACACAAATACGTAGGTAATTCAGTGTATTTAATCAGAAGTTACCGGTAAGTTTCTCCTTCGTATCTACAAACTGCAATTACTTTCTTTTCTGTCTTCTAGCAATTTCATTCTGATCAGCACAGAACTGTTAAACTGTTCTGAAAAAAAAAAAA